TATTTTTCTTTCTCTGGTTTTCTGCAGTGCTGAATTCCAGCAGGCGAGTCTGTTTCAGTCTGCAGTGCCGTCAGGCTGATAGCTCCACTGGGAAATTAGGGATTACAGTCTTCTTTTACTGCCTGCTTCCTAAAGCGCACACAGACATGTCCTCTGATGTTTTCTCCTTGGTTCTGCTGCTCTAAGAGGATGAGGAGCCTCAGTGCTGGTGACTAATGCTGATGAGTTTTGGGGTCATTACACTCACCCTCGTTTGGTCATGTGTTTGCTGCTCGCTGTGTTTGAGGTCATTTTAGGTCTTGTGTAACTGACAGTGTCCATCACTGTGTCTGAGAGTAAACCCGAAAACTTCTGAACACTTTCTCCACATTCACTCACTGTGTCTGTTCATATCTGTCTGTAGACTCACGTTTGTTTATTGATTAGTGTTGTTAATAAGATAATGTTAATAAGATAATGTTATGGTACAATGAAACATTATAATACAATACGATACTTTATGATACAGTATGATACTTTATGATACAGTGCAACATGGTATGATAGAATACAATACTTAATGATACTTGTTATAAGTTATGGTACAATACAATACATCATAATACAATAATTTATGATACAGTATGATACTTTATGATGCAGTGCAATAAGTTATGGTAAAACACTATGATACAGTATGATACATTCTGGTGCAGTGCAATACTTTATGATACAGTGCAATACGTTATGATACAGTACGATACTATGATACAGTGCAATAAGTTATGCTTCAGTACGATACTTTATGATAGAGTGCAGCAAGTTATTATACAACACTACTTCATGGTACAGTGCAGTAAGTTATGGTACAATATGATACAGTATTTGGGGTGGGGGAAAAAATTGATTCTTAGATGCATCGCGATGCGGACGTGGACGATTCTGAAACGATTCATTCAACATCAAAATCGATTTTCTAAATATTTAATTTATAACATAAAGTTGACGGAACGCAAAGGGTGGAACTTGGAAGTGGGTAAGTGCAGCGCCTGGACAGTCTGTGGCAGCACATAACAAAGACACAACAGGATGAGCGAGAAATCCGACCAGCTCCCTCTGCATTAAAGTCAGGTTAGGTCAGGAGTCACAACCCAAATGTTAAGAAGAGACATTTTGTCCTTTCAACAAAAATCAAACCACCTTGGGAGCCACAACATTTAATGTCCAGTATGTCTCAGTATGTGCTAGTATAGGCTAAACAATATAAACGAAAACGCGGACTTCCTCTACTCTGCTTTAAGCTTTAGCTATAGCCGCTTTCCTCCCATCTCCAGCAGGAAACTTTTCCTCAAAAGTTGAATAGTTTCTTGTAAAATGTCTTTCAGCTTTCGGCTGTTTTACGAGGCTGAAGTCCTTCTCATTCACCAGCTTCTTTCCCGTTCCACCTTAAATTCTGACTGAGGCGCCGAAGGTAAATGCGGCACCATTTAAGGTGGAACAGGAGAATTAGAAAGAGAAGCGACTTCATCTTCGCAACTTTTTAGTGTTTGACAGTCTCTCGTTGCAGATTTAACGTATCAGGAAATAAATACGAATAAGTCCATTCGTCTCCAAATGTTCTTCTGTCTTTCTCTTTTCCTTTTTCGTTCGCTACTAGCCAGGCGAAACCTCGTTGCTAGGTGACCTGCAGTCTGCACGTCAATTCTCAGTTGTTGAGAAACAGGGCTTTTGTGCTATGTTGCACACTTCCCGTCTCGAAGATGTTTTATTGACACAGCAACCCCCCCCCCACTCTCTACCACGAGACCAAGAACGAAGTTATAAAATCACTAAAGATAATGGGTGGGACAGCTATAATGTGCTGCGTGGACATCCATTACCACTGGATCTTATTTCACCGTAACAGCGCATTTTATCACAGATGAGTGGCAGCAGCGTCTCCAAACAAGAGCAGTGAATGAGAGCCTTCTAGTTCACTTCCATTTGTTTTATTAATAAAAGATATTGGACATAAATGCATTATGGATCATTACAAATACTTTGCTTTAAAACTACCAAGTCCTCAGACAGTAAGAAAATAGAAACCATGTATAGAAAAAAAAGATGCATCGAGATGCATCGATAATCATTTTGTAATCGCATCGCAGCCCTCTGAATCGTAATCGAATCGTGAGGTGCCTAGAGATTCCCACCCCTATACAGTATGATACTTTATGATATAATACGATACTTTATGATACAGTGCAGTAAGTTATGGTTAAATATGATACTTTATGATACAGTGCGATACGTTATGGCACAATATGATACTTTATGATAGAGTATGATACTTTATGATACAGTACAATACTTTGTGATACAGTGTGATACGTCATGATACGATAACATACTTTATGATACAGTATGTCATGATAAAATTGGGTACTTTATAATTACAGTATGATATGTTCTGATACATTATGCCACAGTATGACACATTATGATACAATATGATACAGTATGAAAAGCTATGATACTGTAAGTTATGATATAATGATACTGTGATACTTTGTTATACAGTATGGTATGTAATAATACAAATTCATACTTTATGATTCAGTTTGATAATTTATGATACAATATGTTACGTTATGGTGAAAAATGATACGTTATGATATAATATGACACATAATGATGCAGTACGATACAGTTCAAAGTAGAGTATGTTAGACAGAACAATAAATTATGATACAGTATGATACTTTATGATACAGTACGATATGTTAATAGTATAAAACTTATCGTACTGTAGTATAACGTAACGATACCTTATGGTACTGTATCATAACGTAACGATATCTTATGGTGCAAAATGATACATAATGATGCATTACGATATGTTATGACACAGTATAATGTTATATTACAGTGTAATACCTTATAGTACAATTTGATTTGTAATGATACAGTAGGATACTTTATGATGCAATATGATACATTATGGTACAATACGTTTTGATGCAGTAGGATACTTTATGATACAATATGATACTTTATGATACAGTATGATACATTATATAATACTTTATGATACAGTATGAAACTTTGTAATATAATCAGTTATGTTGAGATATGATCTTGTGGTCCAGTATATGCTCCCTATTAGCGTAGAGCAGCGCGGTATGAGAGAGAGTTACTGCCAGTTGGCTAGTAAATGTTGCATTAATTTGTAAAGCCTCTCTCTCTCTCTCTCTCTCTCTCTCTCTCTCTCTCTCTCTCTCTCTCTCTCTCTGTATGATTGTAATCCTCTCTCGGCCAGGCTCTGATGTGTTCAGTGGGGATGAAGCAGGACGTGAGCAGAGGCTGAACGCTCTTTCTGTCTCTCTCGGTTCACTTCAGTTGAGTTTAATGCTCTTTATTAGCGTGAGCTGCTTTACGCTACAGCGCAGAGTGATATAAGAGCACTGATGCTAACACACGCACTGTGCCGAAAAACACGCATATGCTTATATTAGCATTGGATCATACTCTACTATAATAATATACAGCAGTGTGCGCTACTTCTCTGGCCAAAATAAAATTCTCCAGCTATTTTCAAATGTAAATATTCCAAATCAAAGCTGGGCTTGTGTGTTTTATTGTCTGTACTCCGCTGCACTGTGTACTGTCCTGTATTCAGTCTGTTTTATATCTAATTCTGAATCGGATAAAATCAAATCAAAATGAATGGTGCTGAGAATTTCAAATTTGATGATGCACTGAATCCTGAGAAATCATTGAAAATAATTTCTCTCACGTAACCTCTCTCTCTCTCTCTCTACTCCTTTCTCTCTCCCTCTCTCTCTTTCAGCGCTCTCTCTGTTTTGCCCCCCTTTTATTTATCTTTCTCTCTCTTCCACCTCTCTCTCTCTACCCCTTTCTGTCTATCTTTCTCTCGTTCTCTTTCATTTCTCTCTCTCTCTCTCTCTCTCTCTCTACCCCTTTTTCTTTCTCCCCCCTCTTTTCTCTGAGTTGTGAGGATGAGTTGTTTGTGTTTATTTTTAGTGTTTTAATAAACACTGAGAATGGAATCTCTCCCAGCTGTGCCCCCCCCCCTCCCCCCGGTCTGTGTATATGTCTCTCTATCTCTCTGTTTCCCCTCATTTGGTGCTATATGTGATTGTAATTGCAGGCTGTTCTGCTCATTTACAGCTCCAAACTGTCTCATTACTGAGATCAGCATCATCAGCATCATCCTCAGCCCGTCGCCATGGCGATGCCACAGCACGGGTCAAGGGGGTTGGGGGGTACAAGGGGAAGAAGGATGATGTCATCTTAGAGAAATTCTATTTGCATGTTCTCTACCCTCTCTTCTCTTCTCTTCTCTTCTCTTCTCTTCTCTTCTCTTCTTTCCTTTCTTAAAGGATGATGGCACATTAAATTTATCTCTCAGTGTCTCATGGTAGTGCTGTGATTGCAGTATTTTAGGTGGTTGTTTGGTGGTTGCTGTGGTATTTTAAGTGGTTGCTAGGTGTTTGCTTTGGTATTTTAGGTGGTTGCTGTAGTATTTTAGGTGGTTGGTAGGTTGTTGCTATGATATTTTAGGTGGTTGCTATGGCATTTTAGGTGGTTGCTATAGTATTTAGGGAGTGGTTAGTTAAAATTTTTTTACTGTGGTATCCCAGGCGATGCTAGGGTGTTGCTAACTGCTTGCTGTGGTTTCTTGGGTGGTTGTCAAGGTGTTAGACCGCCCTGCTAACCCATTCAACTCATCACTGGTTGCTAAGCAACAACAACAGTCACTTCACTGCCACTTTGTGCTGGAACTTCATTTTTGGCTGAAAATTTTGCCAGTCTGTATGTTTAAAGCAGTAGAGCTCTGTAGGTGGTGATTATGGTGAAGTTTGTTGCTGTAATGATCTGTGACCAAATAAGAGCCGAGATCTCGCTCAGTGACACAGGACTTCTAGTGGTGGTATCTGTGTAAATTGTGTGTGTGTGTGTTTGTGTGTTTGTGTGTGTGCGTGAGTGATGTTTAACCATGTTCTCTCTGCTCTCTGCAGTATCTGGAGGATTCCTAATGTGAACTGTGTGGACAGTAATGGATACACTCCTCTACATCACGCTGCTCTGAACGGACACAGGTGAGGGTTTACCTGACGCATTGACCGCTGCGCCTCTGTGTGATGCACAATTGATGTGTTTTTGATTATGTACTGAATCTGATATTAGCAGCAAAGGCTTGAACTTTCAGTTCAGTTCACTATGTGGCACTGTGTGTCTTTCTAACTAGCATTAGCTATTTTCAGATAGCATAGTCAGCTAACATTAACATTTTCAGCAGTTAGCCAGCGTCAGCTATTTTCAGTTAACTAGGATTAGCTGTTTTCAGTTAGCAAAGATAGAGTTAGCTTTTTTCAGTTAGCAGAGTTAACTAGTGTTAGTTATTTTTAGCATTAGAGTTAGCTGAGCTTGGTTATTTTCAGTTAGCAGAATTAGCTAGAGTTAGCTATTTTCAGTTAGCAGTGTTAACTAGTGTTAGTTATTTTTAGTTAGGAGAGTTAGCTAATGTTAGTTATTTTAGTTAGCAGAGTGAGCTAGAGTTAGCTGTGTTCAGATAGCAGAGTTAGCTAGTGTTAGCTTTTTAAGTGAGCAGAATCAGCTACCATTAGGTATTTTCAGTTAGCAGAGTTAGCTAATGTTAGCTGTTTTAGTTAGCAAAACTATTAAAAATTATTAAAGCTATTTTGAGAATAAGAGGGAAAAAGTTATAATGTTAAATGTGTTACCAATTATTATTCATTAACAAAAGGAGACCATGTTTTACTAATTATTATCATTGATTATTTATTTATATTATTTATTGTTCTTTGCCCCCCCCCCTCCTCAGTGAGGTGGTGGAACTGCTGTTGAGGAATGAAGCTTCAACTAACGTAGCTGACAGTAAGGGCTGTTATCCGCTGCACCTGGCCGCGTGGAAGGGTGACCAGCGCATCGTCCGGCTGCTCATTCACCAGGGTCCATCACACCCCAAACTCAACGAACAGGTCAGAACACGCGTTGGATCTGCTTTTCTGGTTTTTCGCTTTCCTTTAGTGCGCTGTATCTTGTGCATGTAAACATTTGGCAAGTCCCAAAGCTCAAAGTTCCGTTCAGAGGGAGAAACTCTCTCCCACAGAAACCACTTTTCTTAGCTGCCTAAAATGCCTCGCTGGTATTCCAGCGCTTTTTATTTGTTACAAGAAGACGCAATCTCGTCCTTACTGGGCACACCCTCACACAGCGCACAGCGGCTGCTGGAGGAGGAAGAGTGTGTTCAGTGTTGTTGCTGTTTGGAGAGACACTGACTGGACTTTCAGGATCAACTCTGGACCAAACTGATATGACAGAACCGATGCCGCTGGAGAAACAGCCACAGCGGAGTTTACAGTTGCTCAGGAGAGAAGACACAGTAGCTCTAACACAGTGTTTCAGGCAGAGGGTGAATAGAGATGCACAATATGAGGAAAATAATGTGGTTTTGGAACACTGATGCTGTAAGTCTATTCTAGGCCCCAAAAATGCAATTTTGAGCATTAAAAAATGAGCACAGTAGGTCCCCTCTTCAAGATTTGCAGCTTGTTCACTCTGTGGAGCCATCAGAGAGCAGAGGAGAAGATCAGGGCCTTCAAAGAGGTAAAGAAATCTCTCTGAACAGACAACATCTGAAGTTACTGGAGCTTGTCCAACATGATGAGGATGGAAAGTTCCACTTTTTCTTATAGGAAGGGTTCTTCTGCTATTCTTTGTCATAATGAGGTAGGAAAGAACAGATAATTTGTCAAATTGAAAAGCCCTCACTACAGTGGAAAATGCGGTGAACACTACACTCTTAAAAAAGATGGTTCTTCAAGGGTTCTTTACTAAAGACAGTGGTATTTTTATATAGAACTGTGAACACTTAAAGCACGGTTCTTTGCATGGTGCATAAGATGAACAAATTCAATAAAATACAATAACAAAAGAATTAAAAGTAGTATTCCAGTAAAAACAAGGGAAATTATAAAAAACTAGTTAAACACTAAAGTAAGGAAATATGTTTTTAACCTGTTTTTTTAAAACAATGATCGAAGGAGCCTGACGGGTGTTTATCAGAATTGTGTTCCAGATCTTTGGTGTATAAAAACAGAACCTCTCTGCTTCATATGTGGAACACAGAGAAGCAGCACTAGATGATCATAAACCTCGATTTGGAACATCTGCATTTAGAGACACATGAAGTTGTTAAAACAATAAGAGATTTAAACACTAGCAGTAAAACTATATAGTGGATTGTAGGGGTGGGAATCTTTAGGCATCTCACGATTTGATTACGATTCAGAGGGCTGCGATGCGATTATAAAACGATTATCGATGCATCTCGATGCTTCTTTTTTTTATATACCTGATTTCTATTTTCTTGCTGTCTGAGGACTTGGTAGTTTTAAAGCAAAGTATTTGTAATGATCCATAATGCATTTATGTCCAATATCTTTTATTAATAAAACAAATGGAAGTGATGTGGCAAGTGAACTAGAAGGCTCTCATTCACTGCTCTTGTTTGGAGATGCTGCTGCCACTCATGCTGTATAGCTGTGATAAAATGCGCTGTTACGGTGAAATAAGATCCAGTGGTGATAGATGTCCACGCAGCACATTATAGCCGTCCTACCCGTTTTCTTTAGTGGTTTTACAACTTCGGTTTTGGTCTCGTGATAGGGAGGGGGGGGGGCGCGAAAGCCCTGTTTCGCAACGACTGAGAACTCGCGTGCAGACTGCAGGTCACCTAGCAACGAGGTTTTGCCTGGCTAGTAGCGAATGAAAAAGGAAAAGAGAAAGACAGACGAACATTTGGAGATGAATGGACTTGTTCGCATTTATAAGCAGCGCAGTTGGTTTCCTGATACGTTAAATCTGCAACGAGAGACTGTCACACACTAAAATGCTGCGAAGATGAAGTCGCTTCTCTTTCTAATTCTCCTGTTCCACCTTAAATGGTGCCGCATTTACGTTCGGCGCCTCAGTCAGAATTTAAGGTGGAACGGGAAAGTTCAGCAAGAAGCTGGAGAATGAGAAGTGACTTCAGCCTCGTAAAACAGTCGAATGTTGAGAGACATTTTACAAGAAACTGCTCTAGTTTTGAGGGAAAGTTTTCTGGCGGAGATGGGAGGAAAGCGGCTATAGCTAAAGCTTAAAGCAGAGTAGAGTAAGTCTGTGTTTTCGTTTATATTGTTTAGCCTAAACTAGCACATTATCACATACTGGACATTAAATGTTGTGGCTCCCAAGGTGGTTTGATTTTTGTTGAAAGGACAAAATGTCTCTTCTTAACATTTGGGTTGTGAATCCTGACCTAATGTGGCTTTTAATGCAGAGGGGGCTGGTCGGATTTCTCACTCATCCAGTTGTGTTTTTGTTATGTGCCGCCACAGACTGTCCGGGTGCTGTACTTACCCACTTCCAAGTTCCACCCTTTGCGTTCCGTCAACTTATGTTATAAATTAAATATTTAGAAAATCGATTTTGACATTTGTGAATCGATTCAGAATCGTTCACGTCTGCATCGCCATGCATCTAAGAATCGATTTTTTCCCACACCCCTAGTGGATTGTAAAGGACACAGGCAGCCAGTGCACTGATGCTGGAACTGGTCTAATATGATCTTGTTTTCTAGTCCATATTAATTTTCTCGCTGCTGCATTTTGCACAGGTTGTACTTGTAGGTTCTGTGAACAGAGCATTAATTCCCTATAATCCTGTAAAGGTTGAGGTCAGTTACTCATATTTTCACAGAATTATGGCTCTCTAAATTTTTCTGGCTTTCCGGACCTCCACCGCGGGCGGGCGTATCGGCAAGACTGCTTAGGGTCTAGGAGCCTACAGATACAAATTTGTGGGATTTCAGGAGTTTGGCCTCGTCACAGATTTTTGAAGTTGCTTGTTGCAGAGCATTCCCTTCTCTTGTCATTTTATTCACAACGTCATCAGTGATTAGTCAACATTGTCCTAACGTTCATCACAAAACTGTCGACTTTAAAACTCTGAAGTTGTGCGGCCCCTAATGCACGCATGACATTACTGTTCCATAGCGAGATGTAAAATATGAGCCAGAATGAAAAACAAACCCTTTTAGATTGCTTTCATGTTGCTCAACCTCTTCACTAAAAACAGTGCATGAGGATTTATATTTTAAAATCAAATGCTGAATTTATGTCAGAATTGAATACAATCTTCCCTGAAAAATAATAGTCATAGCTATAAAGCTTTACGCTGTGCAGAACTTGAAACAGTATTAAATCAGTATTAAAGTGTAAAGGATCTCTTACTTTTCATTTTGGCAGGTTTTGTGCATGTTACTGTTTAAATAAAATCTCATATATTCTCTGCATTTCTCTGTTTTGGCTGCATTTCAATTAGGCGAATACATCAGAAATACAAATAAAGTGGTGAAACAGTGTAGTGGGTGTTTTGCTTTTCATTTTGGCTCATATTCCACTCGTGACCTGTGGAAAAGTAACATCATGTGTATATTTCACTGTTTTCACTGTTCTGACTGCATTTCAATTAGGAAAATCTGATTAAAGTGTTGCACAGTGTAAAGCAGTATGGCTCTGCGGTCATCTCCTTTTTAAAGTGGATTGTATTCAATTCTAATACATTCAGCATTTTATTTTGAAATGTAAACCGTCAGGCACTGTTTTTCAGTAAAGACATTGAGTGACATTAAATCAGTGTAATAGAGGGTTTGTTTTTCATTCTGGCTCATGTTCTGCATCTCACTATGGAACAGTAATGTCGTGTGAATTACATTTCACGTTTTTCCACTGTAGTGACTGCTTTTCGATCTGGCACAGATTGCTCTCCATAGATAATCTCCACTTCCACCTTAAAAGGTAATATAATTGTACAGTCATGTGATCTCCAGTCAGAAGCTACCAGACTGCTCAGTTTTAGATGTGGTCTGGGTTATTTTTGGCTATTAAACTGACAGCAGAGCGGTTTATCAGTCAGTTCCTTCCTCTTGCTGGTTTTCACACCAATCTCTGATCTTCATCTTGAGTAGGTGTGAAAGGAAAACATCCTCCTCTGAAACTTCCACCTTCTTCAGAGTTTCCACTCTCAGCTTCATTAGGTACATACAGTGGATGTTCTGACACAGTGAATGACTAAAAAACTGACCACATTCATCGGCAGTTAAAATCTTTTTTTTTTGGACTCTTTAAAATGCCAGTTATCACCTTAAAATCCACCAATAGGAGAATAGAACATCTAAAAATCCACCAATAGGAGAACAGTACACGTAAAAATCCACTAATAGGAAAACAGTACAGCTAAAATCCACCAGTAGGAGAACAACACAGCCGAAAATCCACCAATAGGAGAACAGAACAGCTAAAAATCCCCCAACAGGAGAAAAGTAAAGGTAAAAAACCACTAATAGGAGAGGAGTACAGCTAAAATCCTCCAATAGGAGAAAAGTGCAGCTACAAATCCTCCAATAGGAGAAAAGTGCAGGTACAAATCCACTAACAGGAGAACAGAACAGCTAAAAATCCACCAATAGGAGAACAGCACAGCTGAAAATCCACCGATTGGAGAATAATACAGCTAAAATCCACCAATAGGAGAACATTACAGCTAACATCCACCAATAGGAGAAGACTACAGCAAAAAATTCACTATTAGGAGAACAGCACAGCTGAAATTCTACCAACAGGAGAACAGAACAGCTAAAAATCTACCAATAGGAGAACAGTGCAGCTAAAATACACCTATAGGGGAACAGAACAGCTAAAATCCACCAATAGGGGATCGGCACAGCAAAAAATCCGCTAATAGGAAAACATCACAGTTAAAAATGCAATAGGACAGCAGCCCAGCTACAAATCCGGCAATAGGAGAACTGGAGAATCTAAAATTGAAAAGTTAGGGATTGTTTATTGTCTAACTGTGTGTGTAATTATGTAGCTGTGATGTCACTGTTATTGTATGATGTATAAAACTGTATAAATGAGATGAAGCCCGTCATCAGCAGGCATTTCTGCACTACTGACTGTCACTAATGCACTAATGCCGCGTCTCTCTCGTGATGCTGCAGCGTTCCTCCTGAATGCACCTCAGCTTGTGATCAGCGATGAGTTTAAGTTCTGCTGTGGCTACTCACTGACACTGTTCTCATCTCTCAGTCTCATTATTCTCCTCATTATTTTATTTTTCTTGACTTGTTTAATTTGAAGTGACCCAAAATGGAATGAAAGTGTTCAGGCTAATTGGACTGTGAGCAGGAACAACAGCACTAATTGGAAATCTGCATTTGGAGTTTTATGTGCCTGCAATAAAAAGAAATACAATAATAATAATAATAAGAAGAAGAAGAACAAAAATATACACTTCATTTCATTTTCAGCTGCTTATGTTTCTGTTTGATCATCATCATGTTCATTAACCCTGTGTGTGTGTGTATGTGTGTGTGTATGTGTGTGTTCATCTCCATCCGTTTCTTTTCCTCTCCAGACTTCTCTCGACCTCAGAGATTTCAAACGCTGTGGCCCGTTTGACCCATATATTAATGCCAAGGTGTGTACCCAAGCGCTGCCTGACCTATGACCTTTGACCCCTCTGCATGCTCCAAACTCTCCACTGGCCATGTGTGTGTGTGGGTGTGTGTGAATGGGGGCGGGGGCGGGGGGGTGCTTTAATCTGTTACATCTCTCTGATTAAACACATTAAACGTGAATAAGCTACATGACAGATTTGGATGAAAACTGAGTGATTGTTTGGGCTTTTTTCTCTTTCCAGTTGTGGTGTCCACTATGAAATATTCGATGTCCACTGTGAATTATTCAGTATCCACTATGAATTATTCGGCATCTACTATAAATTATTCAGTATCTACTATGAGTTATTCAGTATCCACTATGAATTATTCAGTATCCACTATGAATTATGCAATATCTACTGTGAATTATGCAATATCAACTATGAATTATTCAGTATCCACTATGAATTATTCAATGTCTATTATAAATTATGCAATATCAACTATGAATTATTCAGTATCTACCATGAATTATTCAGTGTCTGCTATGAATTATTCACTATCTTCTGTGACTTATTCAGCATTCTGACCTAATGGGTGGTTTTTACATCATTTTTATGACTGATCCTGAGGGACTAAAATGATCACGTTTTCATTAGAAATTCACTCTTCATGAACTTGTTTCGGACACAGCAGTAAACACAGCATGTCAAGTTAGTTATGGAAGGAAACCATGAACACATTGATCTGCTCCTGCTCCTCCTGGTTTCCAGCTCTGCTCCTGGAGAACCCTCTTTCCCTCCTCCCAATGCACTGGGGGGGTCCTCCAGGGTCAGGGTTGAGATCCACTGCTTTACAAGAACTACAGCAGAACCTTAAACTGACTCTGACTGAAGACTGTGTACCTGCAGCACTGCTGTCATAATAAGAGTCCTGTATAACTGTACTGTTCAAATTAGGAGACTGGATTTATTTGAACAATGACTGAAACATTTAGAATTATTATAATTATTATTCATTTCATTATTATTATTATTATTATTATTATTATTACTGCATATTATTATTAGTTTAATTTTGAGATGACCAGTGATAAAAGTGGGTGGGGCTAAACCTGCTGGTACCAATCATACACCACTACTGCGCTCTCACTCCAACCAACACGCACAGTTAACACTCTGAGCCGCAGGAAGATTTTCATCACCATCACAGAAAGAGAGAGACAAGAGTAGGAGAGAGAAAGAGAGTGAGAAAAGAAGTGAGAGAGACAGAACGCAGTAAGAAAAGAGACAGAGTGTCTGTTTAGTGTGTTTATGTGTATATGTGTGTGTGATGTGTAATGAGAGGTGGGGTGTATGGTTACCATGGTTACCATGTCATGGGTGAGTGGGTAAACGACAGAGAGCGAGAGGAAATAAAAAGAGGAAAGAGAAAGAAATATAGATATGAAATATGAAAAAATATATAAATGTGTCTGAGAGAGGAAATACATGGATGAAATGTTTCATTTCAAAATGTTTTTCATTAATAACAAGAAGTAGTTTTGAAAAGAATAACAGCTGGCATTTAACTCTTATTGTCAAAATCACTTTGATTTCTCTGCTAAAGTTTGTTCTTATTACTGTTATTAATAATAATATAGTACTGATATTGCCTGTGTGTAAATTATAGGTTTGACTCAAACAGTATTTTACATTTTACTGTATTTTACAATTCTTCTCATATCCACCCTTAAAGACATCGGGCCTCATTCTCCAATACCTTCTTAAGTTTGTTCTTAAATGTGTTCTTGAGAAAGGTCATAAGAAAATGCCAACATCATATTCATGGCGTGTTCTTAAAGCGCAGAACTGTTCTCACCTTTGTGCTCTTGAGTTTGAGTAGATTCTGTTCTTACCTAAGAACAAATCCCAAATAAGAAAAATAAGATCAGAGACAGATGTGCTGTAACATTGTCAGATAAGGAGACAGATGTGCTGTAGCATCAGATAAGGACACAGATTTGCTGTAACGTTGTGTCAGATAAGGAGACAGATGTCCTGTAGCATCAGATAAAGAGACAGACGTGCTGTAACATTGTCAGATAAGACAGATGTGCTGTAACGTCAGATAAGGAGACAGATGTGCTGTAACGTGTCAGATAAATAGACGTGCTGTAACGTGTCGGATAAGTAGACAGATGTGCTGTAACATTGTGTCAGATAAGGAGACATGTTCTATAACGTGTCAGATAAGGAGACAGATGTTCTATAACGTCAGATAAGAAGACAGATGTGCAGTTACATATCAGATAAGGAGACAGATGTGCTGCAACATGTCAGATAAGGAGACAGATGTGCTGTAACATCATGTCAGATAAGGAGACAGATGTGCTGTAATGTGTCGGATAAGGAGACAGATGTGCTGTAATATTGTCAGGTAAGGAGACAGATGTGCCATAACGTCAGATAAGGAGACAGATGTGCTGTAACGTGTCAGATAAGGAGACAGATGTGCTGTAACATTGTCCGATAAGGAGACAGATGTGCAGTAACGTTGTCAGATTAGGAGACAGATGTGCTGTACCGTGTCAGATAAGGAGACAGATGTGCTGTAACATTGTGTCAGATAGGGAGGCAGATGTGCTGTAACGTGCCAGATAAGGAGACAGATGTGCTGTAACGTGTCGGCTAAGGAGACAGATGTGCTGTAACATTGTGTCAGATAAGGAGACAGATGTGCTATAACGTGTCAGATAAGGAGATGGAAGTGCTGTAACGTGTCAGATAAGGAGATGCAAGTGCTGTAACGTGTCAGATAAGGAGATGCAAGTGCTGTAACGTGTCAGATAAGGAGATGGAAGTGCTGTAACGTGTCAGATAAGGAGAAGGAAGTGCTGTAACGTTGTCAGATAAGGAGACAGATGTGCTGTAGTGTCAGATAAGGAGACCAATGTGCTGTAACATGTTGGATAAGGAGACAGATGTGCTGTAACTTTGTGTCAGGTAAGGAGACAGATGTTCTATAACGTGTCAGATAAGGAGACAGATGTGCTGTAACCTCAGATTAGGAGACAGATGTGCTGTAACATTGTCCGATAAGGAGACAGATGTGCAGTGACGTGTCAGATAAGGAGACAGATGTGCTGTAAGATCATAAAAGTTTTCCAATTTGAACAGATATAAACATGTGTGACTCTCCAAAAATAAACTCATAGTCTTGTTTATATATGAGTGTTACAGTGAGTCACACTGACTGCCATTGTGTGCGTGAGTGTGTGTGTGTCCTGTAGTGATGATGTAAGCACCCCTCCCCCTACCCCTCAGGGCTCGGACTGATGATGTAAGCAGGGTCCAGTCACACAGCAGCGGGGGACTGTCAGTGTGTGTCAACATCAAACGCACGCACTCACACACACTGAGCTCTGCATTGTTGATCCAGAACGTTCCAGCTCACACTGTAATAACCACTGCTTAATAACATATACATGACTGAACTGACTGTTTATAAACACCAGAGTAACACATCACTGCTCATACTGCGTCTGACAGCACTGTACGGTGGAGTCTCATACACTACACACACACACACACACACACACACACACACACACACACACACAGAGATGGGGAGGGTTAACTTGTCTCTCATCATTTAAACCTTTATCTTTTATTGTAAATGTATCATTATTAGTTACTCTAATAAAGCGTGAATTAATATGAAATGAATATGATGAGTGAGACAGTGTCTCTCTCTCTCTCCCTCTCTCTCTCTCTCTCTCTCTCTCTCTCTCTCTCCCTCCTTTCTCTCTCTTCTTTCTCTTTGTGAATTTCCCCGGTTGTGCGACTAATAAAGGACAGTTTTATCTCTCTTCCTCTCACTCTCTGTCACCCTCTCTCTGTTTCCCTCTCTTTCTCTCCCCCTTTTCTTTTCTTCCTCTCCCTCTTTTCTTCCTCTCCCCTCTCCATTTTTCTCCCTCTTTTCTGTCCCTCATTCCCTCTTTCTTTCTCTCCCTCTTTTCTTTCTCTCTCCCACTCTGGATTTCTTGCTCTCCTTCTCTCTTTCTCTCTCTCCTTCTCTCTTTCTCTCTCTCCTCCTCTCTCTCTCTCTCTCTCTCTCTCTCTCTCTCTCCCCCACCCTCTCTCTGTTCTATCGGTAAGTTATTTAGGCTATGCTCCAAAAATCGTCTGTTCTGAGTTTTAAATATTTTTAATATTCTGAGTTCATACGAACCCTCCGCGATCCAGAAGAATAAGCGGCTTAGAAAATGTGTGTGTGTGTGTGTGTGTGTGTATGTGTGTGTGTGTGTGTGTGTGTGTGAGAGTTTATATGAATTCGAAGCTGCAGCTCCAGAGTCAGTCTGAGCACTTCCTGTTTCTCACAGTGTATCACTAACACTAGAGGGCACCAGGGTGAGTCCTTAGTGAATGGAGCTAAACAGTTTCGTGTTTTTTTTTTTACTACAGCTGATCAGTTAGCATTACTGCTACTGAGCGCTAAATGGTTAGCATTACTGCTACTGAGCGCTGATTGGTTAGCATTACTGCTACTGAGCGCTGATTGGTTAGCATTACTGCTACTGAGCGCTGATTGGTTAGCTTTACTGCTACTGAGCGCTGATTGGTTAGCTCTACTGCTACTGAGTGCTGATTGGTTAACATTACTTCTACTGAGCACTGATTGGTTAGCTTTACTGCTACTGAGTGCTGATTGGTTAACATTACTTCTACTGAGTGCTGATTGGTTAACATTACTTCTACTGAGCACTGATTAGTTAGCTTTACTGCTACTGAGTGCTGATTGGTTAGCTTTATTGCTACTGAGCACTGATTGTTAGCTTTAATGCTACTTAGAGCTGATTGGTTGGCATTACTGCTACTGAGTGCTGATTGGAGGGCATTACTGCTACTGAGTGCTGATTAGTTAGTGTTACTGCTACAGAGTGCTGACTGGTTAGCATTATTGCTACTGAGCGCTGATTGGTTAGCATTACTGCTACTGAGCGCTGATTGGTTGGTATTACTACTATATAAAAATGTATGCCTGTTCATCCTTTTGACAAACTTGCACAGTCATAAGCAAAAGTTTGGGTGCCCTGGTCAAATTCTCTGTTTTTGTTTCTGTTCATTTGCTGAATTTTTCATGATAAATGTACAATATGTATAAATCTGATCTCTGTAAATTAATCATTGAGCATAAAAGAATTAATGTGTGCCATAACTTTGTTTGCTTTGTATTGATTTGTTTAGATCTGAATTAATAATTGATTGTAATTGATTGTAATTGAATCAATTAAGTATTTTCATTTGTCCTTCATGGAAGCTCAGTTTTGTTTTGTGGTAGATTTTCTCCTCTGATGTTCTACTCCTCTTTTTCCTTCTCTCTCTGTAGAACAATGATAACGAGACTCCGCTGCACTGCGCCGCTCAGTACGGTCACTCCGAGGTGGTGCGGCTGCTACTAGAGGAGCTGACCGACCCCACCATGAGGAATAACCGGTTCGAGACTCCACTGGATCTGGCTGCTTTGTATGGCCGGCTGGAGGTGGTGAAGCTGCTGCTGTGTGCTCACCCCAACCTGCTCAGCTGTAACACGCGCAAACACACGCCGCTGCACCTGGCCTCGCGAAACGGCCACCTGCCCGTGGTGGAGGTGCTGCTGACCTCCGGCATGGACATCAACTACCAGGTGAGGTCAGCACTGCCACCTGCTGGATGTACAAAGTTCGGCAGACGCTTTTGTGGCAGAGTTGGAGTTCAGGTTGACAATATGGATCGTTACATATATAAATTATTTCACAATTTAATGCAATATGCTTTTCTGAATATATTGTGTACATCATTGGTACAGTACTTGTACCAACTGCATGTTTCAGTTTAACTTTATTAATTGCTAAAAATTTATAGAAATCATCATTTTTTGATAGTATTTTAAATGTAGCACTGCTGGCTCCTTTTCTCAGTTCTAGATGTCTGAAAAATGGTACCTCAACATTTTTCATCAATGTTAAAATAAATTTATTGATGGTTAAAATAAAATTATTGATGGTTATTTGTTAGATCTTAAAGACCTTACAATCATTAATAAGCATTTACAACACAAAAGTAAAAAGAGCAGGAGTGACCTGCTGTTGGCCCAACAGTAAACTCACATTCGTTTATACTGTCACACTTCATATTTTGAAGTTTGCTGATCTTTCTTTGTTTTTTTCATCAGTCAGCATTGAACTATCAGCTTTATTACATTTTTATATTCATAAGATATAAAGATACTTTTGCCCTGTTTATTAATGTGTTATAATGCTTACTAATGATTAATGAAGTGTTTATGACCTTAATAATAAATATTAACAAACTATTTTCAAACAGTTTATAAACCCTTTATAAACCTTTTACAAAGGCCCTCTTATTTTAAATAAGTATTGCGATATTCTATTTTTTCCATATCACCCACCTCTGTGTTGGGTAAACATCACTGTGGGGGGATTCTGTAAAAGAAAGTTCTCTTTAGATCTCACAGCAGGTGGATTTCCCCTAAATAAGGTGTCTGGGTGATTTAGTGTACAGCGTACAGTACTGGGCTCGAGTCGGGCCGGTTTTTAAATGAGTGATTTCTTTTACATACACTGTAAAAACTTAAAGTTTTAAGTTAAAGTCTTAAATCTGACTGTTAACAGGGTAACACACTCTGATCTGCTAACTGGTCTGGTGTTCAGTGAACTTAAAACAGTCAGTTTACTCACTTTATAACTTTAAATGGTTATTACTGATCTACAGTGGAGTAGATTTACCTTTTTATTGAAGTTTCTCTGCTCTCTCTCTGTCTCATATTACACTCTCTCTCTCTCTCTCTCTCTTTGACTCTCTCTCTCTGGCTCTACCTCTCTCTATCTGTCTCTCTCTTTGTTATGCCTCTCTCTCACTCTCTTTATAGTACCTCTCTCTTTCACTTTCTTCCTGTCTTTTAATTGTAAGCTCTTTCTCACACTCTCTTTTTTTAGACCACTCTGTTTCTATTGTGCCACTCTTGCCCTCTCAATCTCTATCATATTGCATTCTTTCTCTCTCTCTCTCTGTGTGTGACTCTATTATTCCTCTCTTTTTATTGTACCTGTCTCATGTTTTTCCTTTTTCTTTAATTGTATCTCTCTCGCTCTTTTTCTCACTCTCTCTTTACGTACCACTCTCGCCTCTCACTCTCGCTCTCTTTATCATATTGCACTCTTTTTCTCACTTTTCTCCTCTCTCTCTCTCTCTGAGTTAGAGGAGTGGCTGAGTGTGGTCCTGTATAAGACTATATTAGATGATGATGATGATGTTACTGTTTTAGCTTTTCTGGGCTGGTTAGAAATATTCTAACCCACCTGTTAGCTTGGTGTTAACTGTGTGTGTGAATGCTTTGCTGTGTGTGTGTGTGTGTGTGTGTGTGTTTGTTACAGACGGAGAAGGGCAGCGCTCTCCATGAAGCTGCTCTGTTTGGAAAGACTGATGTGGTCCAGAAACTGCTCAGTGCAGGTAAACACGCCCTGCTGGCTTCATTTAGGATCTTCTCTGCATCTCTGAGCTTGTGCATCAGTTTACTCAGCAGGGAGAAATAAACAGAGTCAGTTTAACAGTGTAATGTAGCGGTGTAAGCATTTTGGCTATTTCATGACCTCTTAATTCAAAGCACACAGTGATACTTGCGGGGTGGGAGATGCACTCAGGACTGCATCAGCGGCCATATTACAGAAACGTCCTCTTTTTCAGTCCTAATTTAAGATCTGACAGGTCAAGATAAGATTTTCACTAATTCATATTACAGAAGCAAATCTCATTTTAATTTAGGAATTTTCTCATCTTACTGCATCTTATCTCCAGTCAGGAAATCTTAACCTACTTGATTGAAGTTGACAATCAGCTGCCATGTCTGTTTCCTAGTAACTGACCATATACACACAGCTGAAATATAAACACATAATCGAAATAATGTTAAAATGTGAGTTACAGCTGCTGTTACTGATGTAAAAAGCTGAAACTAAAGTGTGATAAACTGTAAGTTGTGAATACTGTGAGAGCGCCCCCTGCTGTTTATCAGAGCGTCACCATTCCCCAGTTTCAGTCTCCATTTCCCAAACGCTTTAGGCGAGCATGCTAAAGTTATTCCTCCTAATAAACAGATTTCAGCTCTGTCTCCTCATTATTTACCACCATCACTGTAATATTTTATCATCAACATTAACACACAAAGGTAATAAGAGGGCACAGTGGAGATTGTGTCTGCAGTGTCTGAAATTTTTAAAACGCAGAGTTACAAAAGAAAAAACATCCCACAGTGAAAGCAGCGTTTTACAATATAAATAAATGTAGCGTAATTATGCTAGTAGTGAACTATGCTGCCTGACACAGCTGCCGAAAAATGATAGAAACGGACTCCTAAACAGATATTAGGACACTGTTGGGGTTTATCCTAAAGTTAGGACAGTATTTAGGAGATTTAATCTAGTTAGGATGTTTTTGTAATACTGTTTTCTTATCTGGAGTTAATGATAAGATTATGAAGTTAGAAACTGTTATTCTGTAATAGTTACTGTCCTCAATTCAGTCCGTACTGAAGTCATCATGGAGACTGAAAAGATCAGATTTCGGAGTTAAGGTGTTTCTGTAGTACAGGCCCTGGTTTGGAACCTTGTTGTGTGTATCAGGGAGTGATTAAACGCTGTGTGTTTCCTCTATGCACTCATTTCAGTCCACCAGTATGTTTAAATTCCGTAATTTTCCCACCTCACCCTGAGGACAGCGGTCGGCTGAACTGAGCGGGTACTCAGAGCCTTAGAGGACTGCAGGCTCAGTGAAGGTGTGAGTGCAGACTGTAGTGTTTACGTGTGATGTACGGTGTTAATGTGAGTTCACCTGTTGCAGGTATTGATGTGAACATTGTGGACAGTAAGAATCTGACTGCGCTGGACATCGTTAGAGAAATGCCCTCTCAGAAAAGCAGACAGATCGCAGCTCTCATACAGGGTAAGTGTGTGTATCTGTGCGTCTCGATGAGGATGATGAAAACATTTTCTCATTGTAGTGAGTGTTAGGTCTTCAGGCTTCAGTATTGACCAACAAGTTGCATCAGTCACGGTCACCCATTCAGCCTACAGCAGTTTAGCTTCACCCATTCAGCCTACAGCAGTTTAGCTCCACCCATTCAGCCTACAGCAGTTTAGCCCCACCCTTTTAGCCTACAGCAGTTTAGCTCCACCCATTCAGCCTAGAGCAGTTTAGCCTCACACTTTCACACAGTTATAAGACATATTTCAGCCCAGACTGCTTCTTGAATGAGACATAGCTAATCAGAATAGAGCTCATTTACGTATCAGTCTTAAAAGACAGTAACAGAAACAGTGTGTTTAATTGTAAGGGATGAAAATGATCGTAAGGTGTATAAAACCACAAAAAAAACATAAAAGGAGCTAAAACTTAAAAAAAAATGGCAAAAATAAACACATCGAAAATAACAGAAAAAAAGAACCCTTGACCTGAATGTCACCTGCTCGTATGTATTTGTGTTATTGTTTCTGTAGTCCATATGAGCGGTCATCCTCCTGATCAGGCCCTGCCCCCTCCTCCACCACCCCCACCCCAGGAGAAGCTCAGCCCCCGGAAAAAAGGTCAGAACTCAACAACCCCAACAGATTATACTGTACGGTGGTATACATTATATACTATGATTGTTACACATTCTGTATTAAAGCAGAAGAGCTCACTGTGTGTGCAGGAGACGTGGAGCAGCAGGTGAACGATCTGATGTCCGGGATGGAGGAAAGTCCGTACGAAGCTCTGTTTGAAGCCTCCTCCTGCCACTCGCTGGACAGTCTGACCAGCGGGAGATCTTCTGACCGTGATTCCGGGCGGCCGGACAGCGACACAGGCAGGGTAAGGGGTCCATTAATAATAATAATAATAAGAAGAAGAATCAGAAGCAGATCTACAGCTGAACCACGTTCACCACACTGTAAAATATATACACTACACTTTATATGCTGTGTATACACATGCATGGCTGCTAGAGATATACTGAAATACTTGCTTAAAAGTGAATTCCACCCATGTTTAAAATTCCAGTATAATTAAATAGTTAAGATGCAAACAGAGTCATTCAGAGCAGTTTCTCCTTTCAGAATTGTTCACAGTGGTGGTGACGGGAACCAGACATCCACCTCTAAAAGCTCCCTCACAGAAAGTTATTACATGGAATGGTTATGAATACACTGCTCACACTTAGCATGCTACACCAGCTTTGACCAGCAGAGGGTGGCTGTTTTGTTTTTTTGTCATCCCCCTTAACCTTCAGGGACCTGTGGGCGGCTGCGCCAGGTGTGCATAAGTTTAGATGTAGGCTAGTTGTATCTCTGTGTTAACTCTATGTAGGCTAACAACATAGAGAGCACAAAAAGACCAAACAGTTAAAAACTCTTAACGCTGTACGCTGTGATTTTCCTCACAGCCCTAATCATCACCCTGGTTTAAACTCAGCATGAAACTAAACAGCCACAGCTCCAGCTCAGTGAGACTCAGCAACTGCACAAACGTCTAAACTGAGGCTGCCGTTGTGTCGCTCAACCAGAAACTGGCGTTTAAAAAGCGGGTTTCTCAGTGAAATATTAAAGAATAAACAGCGGCTGTAGATCATTAGTTTTATTCAGTTTAACTTGTACACATTGTTCTCTTTTAGGCTGGATATTCAGTCAGAGCAGCTGTCATCTTGTTTCCATGGCAGCAGGTTGACTGATTGGTGCTGATGTTATCGTCAAGTTAAAGTGACGTACGCATTAGTTAGTTGTTACTAGTTAAGACACGATTTACTACTTACTACTACTGCTGTGCAAAATGGCAAAACATGAATCCTTTAAAGATCTCAACAACACATCATTAAAAATGGATAAATTTCCTTAATATGGGAGAGTTTTTCGCTTTGATTTCTTTAGATGTTGAAGTGTAGTGTGTAAATGTACAGACAGTCTTTTATAGACAGAAGAGTCAGTATTGATCCACTCAGCATTGACAGCATCAAACAGCTGAAAAACACTGCTGAGCTAGTTTGAGTTTTAATAAGAAACCAAATATTCTGTATAGGGTTTAAATCTGGACTCTGACCAACCAGAACCATCTGTATCAACCATTATATTTTGGGCTTATGTTTTATTTGGCTATGAATGTACAAAAATACACTAAAAAGCATAGCATCTTGCACAGGAAGGGTTTGTCCACTAGGGGGAGACTGTTTTCCAATCTTGCCGCTTACAGTGGATTTTAAAGATCTCATCTGTTTGTAGATGCTGCTAACAGTCAGTTGCTCTCTCTCTCTCTCTCTCTCTCTCTCTCTCTCTCTCTCTTTGTTTTCAGTTTTTTCCTAAAGACCGTGCTCCTCCTCCTCCCTCTCAGCTCGGACCAGGACAGGAGGAAGAGCTCAGCTCTGAGGTAGAGCAGGAACACTGACCTTCAGAGCTGATTACTCTGTAGCACTCTACACTACACATTTAAAAAGATGGTTTTTCAAGGGTTCTTTAATAAAGAAAATGTTCTACGTAGAACCATGAACGCTTAAAGAACCCTTTGCATAATTAAGATTTTTTTGCATCATGAAATGGTTCTTCAGATTGATGTAGAATGTGTTTTATATGGTTCTGTAGAGAACCTTTTTGAAATGAGTTCTTTTCACAGACTTGACATTGTAACAATAGAAAAACCCTTTGTGGAGCTATATAGAACCCTTTTCAAAAATGTTCTGTATAGAATCATCCTTAGCACATTCTCCATCCGTGTGAAGAACCATTTAACAATGCACAGAACTCTTTAATCATGCAGAGGGTTATTTGATTGTTCATGGTTCTATGTAGAGCCAGTGACTTTACTCAAGAACCCTCTAAGAACCATCTTTTTTAAAAGTGCACCTTGACACCTTAACCATAGCAGAACCCTTTTTGGTGCTATATAGAAAAAAATCTATATAGAACCATATACAGCACATTCTCCATCAATCTGAAGAACCAATTAAGCATGAAATGGTTGTATGTAGAATTCATGGTTCTAAATAGAACCATTACCTTTACTAAAGAACTCTTGTAGAACCATATTTTTTTTGAGTGCGTGCTATTCACGCTAGACTCTTAAAGATGGTTCTACAAGGGATCTGTAGTAAATAAAATGGTTCTATATAGACCCATGAACACTCAATGAACCCTTTGCATGAGAAAAGGGTTCTTTGTATGGTGAAATGGTTCTTCAGATTGAGAGAATGCGCTGAAGGTGGTTCTATATAGAAGCTTTTTGAAAAGGGCTGTCAAGCTTGTAACAAAAGCAGAACTTTTTGGTGCTATGTAGAACCATATGCAACTCATTCTCCATCACTCAGAAGAACCATTTCACCCTGCAGAGAACCATTTAAGCATGAAATGGTTGTATATAGAACTCTAGTTCTAAGTAGAACTATTCCCTTTACTAAAGAACCCCTGAAGAACCATCTTTTTTGAGTGTGTATTGTTCACTCTGCAATCCGTACAGTCCATACACTGAACTGCAGTTTTTAGTTCAGAGTTTTTGTGATGTCACAAAAATCAGCATATTTACGTATATCTGCCTATTCAGCCTACAGCAGTTTAGCCCTACCCATTCAGCCTAGAACAGTTTAGCTCTGCTCATTCAGCTACAGCAGTTTAGTCCCACCCATTCAGCCTAGAACAGTTTAGCTCTGCTCATTCAGCTACAGCAGTTTAGTCCCACCCATTCAGCCTAGAACAGTTTAGCTCTGCTCATTCAGCTACAGCAGTTTAGTCCCACCCATTCAACCTGCAACAGTTTAGCTCTGCCCATTCAGTCTACAGCAGTTTAGCCCCACCCATTCAGCCTACAGCAGTTTAGCTCCGCCCATTCAGCCTACAACAGTTTAGCTCTGCTCATTCAGCTACAGCAGTTTAGTCCCACCCATTCAGCCTACAGCAGTTTAGCTCCGCCCATTCAGCCTACAGCAGTTTGGCTCCGCCCATTCCGCCTACAGCAGTTTAGTCCCACCCATTCAGCCTACAGCAGTTTAGCCCCACCCATACAGCCTGCAACAGTTTCACCCCACCCATTCATGCTAAAGTTATAAAGAGCATCTCTCTTTCTTTCTCTCTCTCTTCCACACTCTCTTTCTCTCTCTTTCTCTCTCTCTCTCTCTCTCTTTCTCTCCCTCTCTCTCTCTCTCTCTCTCTCTCTCTCTCTCTCACTCTCTCTCTCACTCTCACTCTGTCTCTCTGTCTTTGTCTCTCTCTCTCTCTCTGTCTCTCACTCTTTCTCTCACTTTCTCTCTCTGTAGGCTGTGTATACCAGCAGTAGTGTGGATGAGCGGTTGGAGGAGGATGATGATGATCACCCCTATGAAACCCTACACACCGCACGCACCAAACACCCCAACACCGACACACACACCCACACAGGTAACACACCCACACACCCACACACGTAACAAACACACACATTATGATAAATGCAGTCCTTTAGTCCTCCAGTAAGACTTTTATATTGAAAACAAACCCTAATATAAGATTACTGTCTCTCAGGTCTCTCCCCTTCGTTATTTATAGATTAGCTTATTTGCATACATCCTCACTGAGATTTGTTCTGTGAACATCAGCATCGTCTTTGGTTCCTCTTTGTTGCCACTTTCATTCAGAGTTCCGTCTGTGTGACTAACGATTTCATATTTTACAGTGCAACAAAACAATAGAAGCCATATCGCCCCCTATACTTTCTGTAGTGTATTCCTTTCTGTCAAAATGACTGTATGGATCATATGAACATTATAGAATGCTTTTAAAACGAAACAATAGAAGCCATATCGCCCCCTACACTTCCTGTAGTGTATTATCTGTCAGAATGACTGTGTGGATCATATGAACATTTATAGAACACTTTTTACATTCATATAGTATCAGCCTGAGTGTATGCCATATTGTTTGTTTTACATTGATTGTTTATACATTATACATGATTCTGTTTGTAGATAAAGACATCTCTGCCAAGTCTTCCAACAGTCTCCTACCTCAGGTAACACATTTAATGTTGATCTTTCTGTTTGTGTCTAGTGTTTTTTTGATAGAGCTGCAATTATATTCCTGTTTTTCTATTGAAGCAGCGGAAGCCCATTGCACCAACTGACCTTCGACCTCCAGGCTCAAACACACACTCGCTGAAGCCCCCTGGACCGCCTGCAGGTGCTGGCCGACCCTCCGCAGGTAAGAATGAGTGTGGGTCCATTGTGGTCTCAGTAGGGTACACTGTCTGCATGAGTCTGAAAGGAAACTCTATAACATCACTCACAGCAACCGAACAGACTGACCCACACTGGCCCGTCTGAGTGTGAGAGCTGTGAGAGACGGAAGGCAGTAAGATGTGTGGTGCTCTCCACACTTAGACATGGAAAAGTGTGGATACTACTGTTTAAAAGTTTGAAATCATAGCTTTTCAGAAAATTTGGAATAATAACATCTCAGATGTTTGGAATCATGACCATTCAGTATATTGTATATTGGAGGCATAACTGTTTAGATGTTTGGAATCACCAATGTTCAGAGGTTTGGAGTCGTAGCCGTTCAGAAGTTGGAAATCATGACTGTTTATCTGTTTTGAGTCATAACTCTTTAGACATTTGAAGCCATAACTCTTCAGACGTTTGGAGTCATAATCCTTCAGAGGTCATCATTTCCATCATGACCATTGAATCATGACCGTTTAGAAGTTTAAAATCATGATCGTTCAGAAGTTTGGAATCATTACTGTTCAGAAGTTTGGAATCATTACTGTTCAGAAGTTTGGAATCATAACTGTTCAGAAGTTTGGAATCACAACTGTTCGGAAGTTTAAAATTATGGTCGTTCAGAAGTTTAGAATCGTAACTGTTCAGAAGTTTGGAATCATGACCGTTCAGAAGTTTGGAATCATGACTGTTGTGAAGTTTGGAATTGTAACTGTCTTAAAGTTTATAATAAAAACTGAATCATGAATGTTCAAAAGTTTGGAATCAAAACTGTTCATAAGTTTGGAATCAAGACTGTTTTAAAGTTTGAAATCTTAACTGTTCAGATGTTCCCAAGTTTGAAACTTCCACAATTCAGATGTTTTAATCACTATTGAAAAGTATGGAATCAAAACCGCTCAAAGGTTTTTATTCATCATTGTTGCAAAGTTTAGAAATATCTATCTATATATAGAAATGGAATCATTGCTGTTTAAATGTTTGAATCACTGTTGTAGAGTTTGGAGTCAGATCCACTGAAAGTTAAAGTTAATGTCCAGACTGTTACGTATTTCAGAAGTGGTCATCAGATTTCAGACAAAGAACCAGACAGAATGTTTTATTTCTCAGGTCTACAGTGTGAAAGTCACTTTTGCACATAAAGGTTCTCAGATCTGCTGCTTGGTCTGGATCTGTTGTTCTCACAGCACGGTTCCATGCTCCATCTTCTCCACCACGCTGGATATAATGACCGTGTGTGAGTCAGGCCTGCAGAGCTCCTGATGTTCCTTCTTTTCCATCATCAGTTCAGATTTTTGGCTGCTGCTCTCAGTTCGAGAGGAACGTGTTCAGTGTCAGTGTTTATCTGCTCAGAAGTCTGAACTGTAGCTGTGATTAGTCACAGTGTTTCCGTATCTTAGCGCTGAGTCTGCCTGGACCCTCTGAGGAAAGTCTCTGGGAGTCTTAAGATCCTGACGTTACAGTGATCAGGGCTTGGTGCGCTACACGGAGTGCAACAGCTGAGAATACCAAACATTTAACTCATTCTTATGGAACAGGTGTTAGAATATTAATAAAACATGCAGAAATGTAATCTGACCCAAGTAAAAATGAACACGATAAAAACATAATTATTATGTAATCAAATAGAAAACGGTTAAAAATTAAACATCATTATGTTAAAAAGTCATAGTAGGATAAGAGTAGTATCGTAAATTCTGTATTTACAGTAAATGCAGTGTATTCAGTACTTCCACTATGTTTAATGTTTATAGTGAATTCAGTTTTTACAGTGTTTTCAGTGTTTATACTGAATATAACTGTATACTGGGTTCAGTATTTGCAGTATATTCAGTGTTTACAGTGTAGATATATTCAGTATTTACTCTGGAATTAAATTTAGTATTTACAATATGTAGTTATATTAAGTACTTACAGCATTTACCATATGTAGTTAGTGTTGTTTTAGTCCATTTACAGCATGGACTACTTTCAACATTTACAGTATTTACAGTATATTTTTATATACAAAATATTCAGTATTTACAGTATGTATTTTTATTCAGTATTTACAGCATTAACAGTGTGGAGTTCTTTTCAGTATTATAAACTATTTTCAGTGTGGAGTTACATGCAGTATTTACTGTATGGAGTTACATTCGGTATTTGCAGTATGTTTTATTATTCAGTATTTACAGTGTGGAGTTATGTTCAGTGTTTACAGTACTCTAGTATGGAGTTATTCATTATTTACAGTATGGCATTATATGCAGTATTTACAGTGTGGAGTTATCTTCAGTATTTACAGTATTTTCGGTATGGAGTTATATGCTGTATTTACAGTGTGGAGTTATATTCAGTATTAATAGCATTTACAGTATATAGTTATATGCAGTACTTGCAGTTTGGAGTTATACTCAGTATTTACAATATTTACAGTATCCAGTTATGTGCAGTATTTGCAGTGTGAAGTTATAAAAAGTGTATGTTTTAGTCGTATATTAATTGTTCTGGTTTTAATAAACATCAGTAAAAGTTCTTTATGTTCCTCAGTGCTGGCTGATGGTGTGTCAGGCTGTAGCTCCGCAATGGCGTTGTTAGAGCTGCACATGTTGGTTTAATGGTTTGAGGAACTCTGAGCTCTTTGTGCAAGACATTTTGGGTGTTGGTGTTTTGGTCTGGAGAATAGAACTGACCTCATCTCCTCATGGACCTGCTGAGCGTTACAAATCAAACCCTCAGAGCAAACACTGAACAGGTCGCAGCTGTGTGTGTGTGTGTGTGTGCGTGTGTGTGTGTGGATGGGGGTGGGGGTGTGTTTGGGTGTGCCTCTCACAGGGGGATGGGTGGAGCCCTGGTGAAGGTGGGTGGAGCTCTTACTGCATGGCTGAATTTATAAACACATCCGTCCTCTCCTTCACTGTGTAGTTTTCCAGGCTGCATAATTAAACGGCGCTCTCTGAGCGGAGAGCTCAGATACTCCGGCTCAGTTTCAGAGTCTGGTTTCTGACACCGTGCAGGTTCCGTCCAGCTGATGAAATAAATTCAGCTGGAAAACTGAAATATTGCAGTAAATTCTGTAAATTAGGTTGTGTTTACATCAGCTCTAAGAATAAACCCCCCCCGCCATACTGCACTCTTACAAAAGATCCCAGAGGATTTTTTAGTAAAGACCTGAACACTCGAAGAACCATTTTCATGCTTAAAGCGTTCCTTGAATGGTGAAAAGTTTCTTCAGAATGATGCAGAATGTATTGTATATGGTTCTATATGGAAGCTTTTTGAAAAGGGTTCTATATAGCACGAAAAAGGGTTCTGCTACTGTTAAAGTGTCAAGCTTCACTTTTAAAAAAGATGGTTCTGTTAGGCTTCTTTAGTAAAGTCACTGGCTCTACATAGAACCATGAACACTTAAAGAACCCTGTGCATGATTAAACGGTTCTTTGCATGGTGACATGGTTCTTCAGATTGATGGAGAATGTGTTATATAAAGCACCAAAAAGGGTTCTTCTATTGTTACAAGCTTGACATCATAACAACAGTAGAACCCTTTTTGGTGCCATATAGAACCCTTTTCAAATTGTTCTGTATTGAACCAGATAAAACACATTTTCACAATACAAAGGAATCTTTGAGTGTTCATGGTTCTATACAGAACCATTTTCCTTACCCTTGAAGCACTGTCTTTTTTAAGAGTGTTGTAAAAATATAATATCTCTTTTTGGTACTATAAAGAACCCTTTTCAAAAAAGTTCTATATACAATCTTTTGAAGATCTTTTTAAGAGTGTAGTAAAGAGAACCCCTCTGAGAAATATGGAGTGGGTTTACAGAGAATTCCGCTCAGTTTTCAGCTGCAGCTGTTTACCCTCTAATATCACTGCTGTGAGTTTGTCTTTGGTTAGAATTTTTCACTGGAAACTGGGCAGCTAAGCGGTCCGCATGTGTAACGGTCAAATGATTTCAGGACAATAGCTCTGTCTTTGATTTATCCCTTTCAGTGTAGGAATAAAATGTAATGTAAAATGTAAAATGTAAAAAAATTTTTTTTATTATGGAAGTGCCATAAATCTACATTTTAACAGGTTAATTCACACATTCAAACAATACCAGGGGATTTTAGTATAATAGATATGATCCCCACTTATGCTGAACTATCATTGTACGTCATATGTATATGATTGTTATTACTAATTCCATAGACTACTGTACACAAATCATATTGCCTACTAAAGAAACGCCTGCCAACAGTGGTGGCCTTTTATTTTAACAGGAGGAATTCACAGAAAACACGTGTGTTGATAATAGCAGAGATGAAGGAGAATTTCGGCTGAAGGCTTATGCATGAATCTGTAATCAAAAAGCATCTGAAGTTTTTCATCTGAGTGGTGGAACAGTGTGCTCACTTTTATCAGAGGGAGAGCAAATACATACTTTTGCTGTGAGATTGACACACTGACCAAACTTTTTGCCGTGAGATGAATTTATTTCTTGCTAATGTAGCCTGAAACGGGACTGAGGTTAGACGACTTTTGGCACCCGGAAAAACTACAGAACTCCGTGAGACAGTGACGATATAGATGCAATGAAAGACACAGATGTTCCTCACCTCTGAGCCGCTGTTGCTCCTGGATCATTCCACTTTACAGTACCAGTACAGCACTTACGGTTGGCAGGGACAGCTCTAACAGGGCAGAGATTTTCACTGACCTGTTAGCTCCTCTGAACGTGCTCCGCTGAAACACACTGAGCTGTTAAACTCATCAGAATTTGTTTGGGGCGGGGGTCTGCATACTTGGGTCGGGGTCAGTGAACGTGTGAAGGTCAAAGATCAGCTGTGACATCATCGTGTCACCAAATACCACGACCCCCTCACTGTAACACCAGATCATCTCACACACACATGCTCAAACACACTCACACATACACTTCAGACACTTCAGAGTGTGTGTGGTGGATCTTTGCCCAACCATCTGTTTAGTGTCAGAGAGAGAGAGAGAGAGAGAGAGAGAAAAGAGTAAGAGAGAGAGAGAAAACAAAGGGTGAAAAAAGAGAGAAAGCAAGCAAGGTGTGTGTGTGTGAGAGAGAGAGGGAGAGAGAGATAGAGAAAGAGAAAAAACAGAGAATGAGAGAGCAAAAACAGGGTGTGAGGGAGAGAGAGAGAGTGAGAGAGCAAGGAAAGAGAGCAAACAAGGTGTGATAAAGAGAGAAAGCAAGGAGAGTGAGTGAGAGAGAAAGAGTGAGCAAAGAGGGAAGAACAGAGCACTAAACTCTCTCTCTCTCTCTGAAATGTCAGCTGTTTCCACTCTGAGTTTAGAGTTTTCTAACTGTGCTGATTCTGTGAGTCATTTCCCTCTCTCTCTCTCTCTCTCTCTCTCTCTCTCTCTCTCTCTCTCTCTCTCACTGTCTTGCTCTCTCGCTCTCCTGCTCTCTCGCTCTCTCTGGACAATACCCGATCTGTTCTGGACGCTGTGTCGTGGGTGTATTCTTCTTAGCTGGAGTTGATCTTCTCATACCACACTCTGTAATCTCTCTCTCTCTCTCTCTCTCTCTCTCTCTCTCTCTCTCTCTCTCTCTCTAAAACAGAGAATTCCGCAGATCTGAGCGCAAGCGTTCCAGAGCAGTTCACTGGACTACTCCACGGATCTTCTCCTGTGGTGGACAGCCGTGGAGGGGAAGAAGCGTTCCGGCTGAAGTCCAGCCAAAGCTCCGGCACTTTGACCTCTGCGACCTCCTCTGCCCCCCCTCCCGCATCCATGGCAGCCATCCTCACGGATCCCGACCCCAAAGCGATCTACGCCACCGTAAACAAAGAGCCACGGGACTCTCCCTCCCGAGCGTCACCATCAGCCGGGCGGACGCGTCCGGGCGACCTGAAGTTGGCCCGCAGCCTGTCCAAATCCGACTCTGACTTGCTGGTGTCTCCGCCCAGCGAGGAGGAGGCGGGACTAGGTGGCCGCAGCGAATCCGTGTCCAACTGCAGCGCCACCAAGAGGAGGCTGGAGAAATCGCCCTCCTTCACGTCGGAATGGGACGAGGTAAGAGCTACCCCTGCTTATCTGGATGGGAAATGTACTGCTTTGTTTGTTCGTGGAGTTTTAAAACGATAGTTTGGTGGAAAATCTGATTCCGGTTAAACGTGTTTTGTGCTGCTTTAGTTTTAGCGCTGGAGTAACGAGGATCATGTAGCTAACATGTATGGATGCTTATACCCCACCACTTAGCATGGCACAGTGGTTTCTGTTGCTGTTATCTAAAAATAAGCAGACAAAATTTAGGCTTCAGGCAGCTGCTACTGTGGTTAGCTATGCTAACATACTTAATTGCTTGGTTAGTGTGTATGTGCTGTATGTGGTGTTTCACTGCACGGATGGGTAAAATGTGGAGGTGAAATTTCCCCGTTGTGGGACTAATAAGGGTCGCTTAATAATAATAGTAATAATAATAATAATAATAATGAAACCACATAATTAAGTCTATTAGAGATTACTGAACAACTTTAGGCCTGCAATTAGCTCTATGCTAATTGGTGAGCAATAAGCTTCCATTACTGGTTAGTTACATTAGCCTCGTAGCTCTAGCTCTAGCACTAAAAATAAAGAAGCAAACCATGTTGTTGAACATGTCTTGGCTGATTTGGAGTAACAGTTTGTTAGCCTGCTAGCACTTAGTTCTGACTAGGATGGCACAAAGCTGTGTATAAAAAGCAGGAGAATGTTATTATTTTTTTCTGAAATAGTATAAAACTGTTGCCTGTGAAACAAAGGAAATATTCCAATGACTGAAACAAGCTTCATAAATCCAAGTTATAGAGCTAGACGTTAGCAGACATTGGCATTATTATAGCAGGAGTTAACACTAAAATTGTTGGTATGTTTCCTAAATCTGTCCATTTCCATTAATCAAAATTAAGCTCTTTTTTGCATTTTTGGCATGTATTGGCTGGTCAGCAGACAGTATTCAGCGCCATGTTCACAAGCATATTCTCAGGACGACCAGCGTGTTTATTTTTCTCGCCCTGTGACCTGAGTGCCACTAGTTTAGCCGTTGAGGCTGTGTTAGTACCTGCACATCACGAGAGCATTTGGTTGCTTTTGGTTGCAGCTGTTTAAATTTGAAAATCACACTTTGTAAAATGCAGATTTTCATTAACATAAATGCTTTAGAATTAGCATTAGCATTGATTGAGGTGGCAATTTGATAATACGTTGCTACTTATAAGGAGAGTTTCTGCGCCTCACTCAGGAGCTGAAGCTTCATGAGTTCACAGCTGGATCTCCAGGAGCTTCTGTTGGAGATGTGTGAAGAAGCACAATGCTCGGACGGGACCTGATTTTATTCTTCAAGTTTTGATAGGATGGTGAATAGTGGGCGTTTCAGAGTGAACACGGAGTCAGACTCTGACAATTAGCAGACAGTTTTGAAAAAAGTAAATAAATGACTAAGTTTTGTCAAAAAAATGACATGCCACGACATTTTGATGTTTATTGTATGTAGTTTCTGAAACACGACTCATTATTTGTTGAAAGCTTGATTATAATGTATATATTTTTACGTTTTAAGATGTAGACGAGGCGAGATGTCGGTTATCAGGCTAGCGTGTTAGCATCCGCACTGCTCTCGCTTTTCTCACACTTTCACAGCAAATGCAAGAAAAAAGACTTCAGGAGGAAAGAACAGAGAACTTGTACAGAGGAGAATTACCACTCTGCAATGTCTTCCGTGTTTCTCGAATGCTAGAGGGCGCTCCCGAACGAGTCCAAAATGAATGGGTTGACATGGAGCATTTGAGTAAAATCATAGTTTATAAATTCTTAAACATTTTTAATGTAAAAGAATACAGTCATTTCCTGAACACTGGGTAGCATCAAATATTTTAACACTGCTGTTATATTTTTAAGAGCTTTTAAACTCGAGTTATAGGAGTTTAAAACAGCACCTCATGTATGTCCATGACGTCAGTGAGCGCGAACAGCCAGTGAGCTGAAAGTTCTGAGCGAGTGATTAGAAACTATTTTAACTTTTCGTTTTTAGCCGCTGAGCACCATTTACTCCCATTCATTGAGGACTCCCTCGAGGGCGCCCTCTGCTGTTTAGCAGTCCTGTTTATGATATAATGCGGGGGAATAGGAAGTGGCCAGGCTCCTCATAAACCAGCTCTGGAAAGAAGTTGGGTTGTGTGTGTGGAAATGTCGCTAATCTGTCGGGTTGTTGCAACAGCAACGCCAGAGACAACAGTGATGGGTGGAGTGAGTTTGTATCGCCAGTGAAAATGAACAAAAATCAAAGATGGTGAAAAAGCAAATAATGTTGCATCCAAAAAATTGGCATGTAAGATATCATAAATGTATTATCGTCTGAATAAAAGGCGTGAGTACAGTGGGGCTCCAAGTGAGGTTTATGTGGTGAGTGTATGAAGGCCTCGGTGTTCTGGTGTGGGTCAGAATGTTCCTCGCTGATGAACAAGCTGTGTTGTTAGACTTTGTCAACTCTGCAGAATGTCAGTTATGCATTGAAAACTCAGAACAACAGAGACCTTTAACTGCTTCTGCTGACCATTGAGGTTATATAATCAGTAAATGTGAAAATAAGGCTGAATGTCTATGAGGCCCCTCACTGCTCTGGGTGCAGCCTTATCAGAGCAAAGTGGGAAAGAGGGGGCAGGGATCATGTATCTGGGCGCATTTGATCGTGTAAAGTGGGCAGGACTTATGCGTCTGAGTGTATGGGGGGAAGGTGAGGGGTTTATTTATCTGAGGGCATCCAATCTATTGATGTGAGTGGGAGTGGGCGTGGCTTGTGTATGTGTGTGCAGCCTATCAGACTGCAGGGCATATGTATCTTGGTGTGTCCTCTCAGAGCATTGTGAGTGAAAGGGGGCAGGGCTTATGCAGCTGTGTAGTAACCTGCAGTGGGCAGGGCTTATGTATCTTGGTGCTTGTCCACTCAGAGCACAGTGGGCTGATGGCCTGAGGAAGTTCTGTCGGCTCTGATGAACCTCTGAATGATCTCGATTCTCAGCTCAGACCTGTTTGTGGATGATGTTCTCTCTGTATTTCTTTCTTTCTTTCTTTCTTTCTTTCTTTCTCGTTGTCTCTTGTTCTCTCTCTCATCTCTCCCTCTTTTGTCTTATCTCTTCTCTTTTCTATCTTGCTGGCTTTCTTTTCTCTCTCTCCTGTTCTCTTCTTCTCCTTTCTCTCTCTCCTTTTCTCTTCTTTTCCATTCTCTATCTCTCTTTTCTCTTTATCTATCTCCCTGTCTTTCTCTTTTCTCTCATCTCTCTCCTTTTCTTTTTTCCTGTTTTGTTTATCTCCATTGCTCTCTCTCTCTTCTTTCTTCTCTCTCTTTTTCCTTTTCTCATTATCTCCCTTGCTCTCTCTTTTCTCTCTTTTCTCTCTCCTTTTCTCTTCTTTTCTTTTCTCTGTCTCTCTTTTCTTTGTCTATCTCCCTGTCTCTTTGTCTTTTCTCTCTTCTCTCTCTCCCCTTTCTCTCTTTTTCCTTTTCTGTTTATCTCCATTGCTCTCTTATCTCTCTCTTCTTTCTTCTCTTCTTTTTCCTTTTCTCATTATCTCCCTTGCTCTCTCTTTTCTCGTTCTTTTCCCTCTCTTCTTTTCTCTTTTTTACTGTTCTGTCTCTCTTTTCTCTTTTCTCTCTCTCTCTCCTTTTCTCTCTCTTTTCCTTTTCTGTTTATCTCCATTGCTCTCTTCTCTCTCTCTTATTTTTTTCTTTTTCTCATTATCTCCCTTGCTCTCTTTTCTCTCTCTCTTTTCTCTGTTCCCTTTCACATTATCTCTCTTCTCTCTTTTCTCTTTATCTCCCTTGCTCTCTCTTTTCTCTTTTTCCTTTTCTCTTTATCTCCTTTGCTCTCTTCTCTCTCCTTTTTATCGGTCTCCCCTTTTCTCTCTCCCCCATGTTGTCTCTCCCTTTTTTGTGCAATGCATTTATTTTTTTACATGTAAAAATGTCCTTTAAAAATTCACTTCCATCATGTTTAGTTACTAACTCTGCTGCTGCGGTTACTTGCCCATTTGCAGCTCTTTGTCGTTCAGTGTTTTCGTGCTGTGAGTGAGGGATTGTGGGTGATGAAGGTCTAAAAAGATGAAGTTGAATTCTTCAGTTTCTCAGCCTCATTTTAAGGTTCCTACAGAACAGAGCAGCGGAACGACAGAGAACATCAGCCCATCCTAGCTGCAGCTCTGAGACGCTGAGTGTGTTATTACTGTGTTGTGCTGCTGCCCCCTTCTGGCAGGTCTGAGTAACTGATATAACAGTTTTTGATTACAGAGCTGATTGGTGGTAGTAAGTGTTTTTTTTGTGATGATCAGCTACACTTGTCCTCACTTCTGATAAACTGATGTTTTACCAGCATTATGAGGACTGATGGTCCTCATAAAGTGCTAAAAACACACACACACAATCCTGATTTCTCTCTGTCCCCAAACACAAACATACCAGCTATATTCTCTTTTATTCTCTTTTCTTTTACTCTTTTGTTTACTCTCTCTCTCTTCTCTGCTCTTCTCTCTTCACTTTCTTTCCTCTTTTGTGTATTGCTCTTTTTTCCCTTCTCTTCTCCTCTCTTCTCTTATTTCCTTTTCTCTTCTCTTCTCTTTTTCACTTCTCTTCTCTCTCTTCTCTTCTCTTCTCTTCTCTTCTCTTCCCTTTTTCTCTAGTCTCCTCTTCTCTTTTCTCTTCTCTCTCTCTCTCTCTCTCGCTTCTCTTTCTCTCTCACTTTTGTCTTTTATTCTCCCTCTTTTCTCTTTTTTCACCCTTTGTTTTCTCTCTCTCTCCTCTCTCTTTACTCTTACTCTTTTCTCTCTCTCTCTCTCTCTCTCTCTCTCTCTTTCTCTCTCTCTCTCTCTCTCTCTCTCTTTCTCTCTCTCTCTCTCTCTCTCTCTCTCTCTCGGTCATGCATGGTCAGCCTGGGACACTCTGCCATTCTGAGTGACAGCATCAGCCCCATGTTTTTTATTTTGGCCTGTTCTCACAGATGCAGTCAGTCTGACTCTAATGTTCATGTTGTGGGGGAGTGTGGAGG